TCCATCTGGCATGCCCTCTGTGTCTCTCCCCCCTGCCCTACTGTCCTCTGCAGCAACATTGAGTCAGACCAGCTGCCCCAAGCCTGCTCCTCCTTGCATCCCGTGTGCTTGCTGGATAGCCGACTGCCTGCTGCCAGACCCACTCCACCCTCTTTTGACTAATGTGCCATCTGCCCTGACACCGTGCTTTTGGAGTTAGCAGCAGGAGCTGTCTCAGTGGCAGGACCAATCCTGCACAGTGCTGGATCCAGGCCACTAGCCTCTTTTAGTCCATGTGTGTGCTGGCAAATCTCCATCCCTTTTATGCAGCCTTCAAAGAAGTGAAGTCCTGCAGGGTCAGGCTGTGCGTGGCTTTCTAAGTGCTGTGTGTTGAACAGTCATCGTCCTGCACAAATGTACTATTGGGCTTTTGTAGATGCAGCCCTCTGTGCTGGTGAAAGAATCCAGCTCCACAGTTGGAGGTGTCTGGCAGGTGCCTCCTGGCTCACATCGCAGCAGGACTCAGACCGAGCTAATGGGAGGGGATTCAGTGTCTTCTCTGATTTTTCCCTAGGTCCTTGTGCCCCTCTGTCCTTTCCACCGTGCAAATCTCACCCCACAGAAATGCATCTGCATGGCTAGTTGTGAAACAGGTGCTATAGCTGTACTGAGAGTGACCTCACTTTGCATTTATAGGAAAAGCTTGGATCCCCAAGCAGAAGCCGATGGATCCTGTTTTGGAAAGTGTGACTCTGGAGCCGGAACTGGAGGAAGCCCTTGCTAATGCCTCTGATGCAGAGCTCTGTGACATTGCTGGTAAAATAGTTTCACGTGAATCGGGGTTTCAAGTTGTTTGACTACTAGTTTCTTTTTCTTTGTTCTTTTGTGAGAAATGAGCTATTGAGCTTTTTGCTGTTTATCTGAATGCTGTCAGTTTTGACATGATTTATTTCTTTGTTAAAAAAGAAGAGTGTATATTTAAAGTTACTTTCAGCCCATGTGATTTAATCAGGAGCATGGACCAAAACTGAGGAGGGAGAAGAAGGATTTATCAAGGGAACAGAGTGTGCTGTTTGATCTCTTCTCCTGTCTCTGCCACTGCATCTTGCAAATTGCAGCCTGTCACCTTCAGGAGCCCAGCTTTCTTCAAGCCAAACCTCTAGGAAACAATCAAACACCCAGTGAGAATGTGGATTTCTTGTGCAACCTTTTAAAGGAGCTGTCAGGTTAGAGCAGTCTTTCAATGGATGCTGAGGTCTGCTGTTTGTTAAAGAGCTTTTCCAACACATTTTAAAGCTACGGATTTCTTGCGATTCATGCGGTTGGTTGATTTTGTGAGTGTTAGCTCAGGGGTGGAGGAATCCAGCATTAAAAGGTTGATGTACTTCACAACGACGGAGAAGCAGGTTGGAATGCACAGTGAGCTGGAGAGGGGGACAGGGCAACTGCAGGTGCTGTTTGAGCCTTGACAGCCTAAACAAGCCCCAGCAAACCAAGAAGGACAGGCGTGGTCTGAGTCTGAGGGGTTTATGCCTCCATGCTAGGTCAGTTCAAGCATTGCTGTTTTTCAGGCAGTGTTGTCTCAGGGAACCCCTTGCAGGCCTCACTGCTCTGCCACTTTAGAGATGACAATATTGGTATCTTGCTGAAGCCAGTAGTGTGGACTTAGCTTTGTGACTGGGATAGGATATGCCTTGGCCAAAGGAGCGTATGAACACCCCCTTGGTGCTTTACCGAGCTCGCATGTTCCCTGCTGGTCTAGCAGTTGATGAATACTTCAGTGCTACTGGCTGCTTCTTCCCGTTCTGTCTCCTCCAGGCTTCCATACTCCCTAGCAGTATCCTCCTTGCCAGAAGTCTGTAAGATAGCCTGTAGAATGACCACACCGTCTAGACATCTTGTACATAATAATATCATATTCTGGCTTAGAAATGTGTTTCTGCATTAAGGCTTCCAACGTATGTACCTTGGCCAAGCATTGCATCTCTGGGTTTTGCTTTTTTACTGTACTCCTAGAGTCCTATAAAGCCCTATCCTATAAAATCTGCCTTTCTAAGCTCCAGATCTGTGCAGTAATCATTTTCACAGAGAAATGCTGTTCTGGGCAGCTTGTTCTGCAGTTCTTGGGAGAATACACTTGAAGTGGCAGCAGGAGAACTGATGTGATACAAGCTGTGCTGAAATCTCAATATTGACAGTGACAGTGTTGCTTTTCCAAGTTTGCTAAGGCTGTGAAACAGCTCCTGCCTGTTTATCAGGGCTCATTGTCAGCCATGGTGCACTGGCTGTGCACTATCCTTCCTTGGCAAGGCCAGTAGGATAGCTCTTGTGGGTGGCTCCCAACAAGTCCTGAAAGGGCTCCCGTGCCTTTGGTCAGCTGGGGGAGGCAGAAATGGGATGCCTTCATTCTGCTTGAGTTCCTTTGGATAATACACAGTAAGCACCAGACTTACAAGAGCGGGTCCCTCTTGTCTACCAGCACAAACTCCAGCCCCCAAAAACCCCGCGTGGTCACAACAGCAGATCCTTCCCTCTGTCTGCAGTTCAGGTATTCACAGTCCTGGCTGGAGGAGAGATTTCATTGTCAGATTAAGCTCTGTTTGGGGTGTACGTGTGTCCCCAGAATGCTGAGCCTGCAAATTACTTTTCTGAGCTGTGTTGCACTCCTGAAAATTTTGGCTGTGAGTATATGGCAGAGAAAAGGGCCAGCTAAAATACAAACAAGCAAACTCGAAGTGCCCAACCTCACTCAGACTTTCAGAGAGAGACTGCTTGGCTCTGTGCAATCCAACCAGGGATGTGCTGGGGAGGTGTGGGGAGGTGGACGGTGGTGTTCATTGATGCCCTTTGCTGCAGGCTGTCCTGCCCCTGCAACCCAGACCTGGAGTCACAGTGAGCTGTCACTGTAACAGATGCCATTCTTGTGATGGGCCTCAGGGACAGCCTTCTCCTGCAACTCCCAGCCCTTCCTGGCCAAAGCACCGAGCAAATGGTGACGGGCTGGTGCCAACCAAGCATAAGAGGAGCAGCTCATGGGAAAGCAAAGTGCCTTTGTGGTGACGTGCTCGAATTGTAGGGAGAGATTTGTGCTGTATTTATTTTAACCACTGTGCCCATCTGGAGGTCAAAATTTGTTCAAGTGTGTCTGTTGATAACAAGTATTCACATGTCTGCATTTTTCTGGAGAAAATCATAGTTATTTAAAAAAAAAAAGTTGATTAAAAACCCAGGGTTTTTTCAAACATGAACTTTCTGTGAGTAGCAGGGTTATTTTTATAAACAGAATCTTTGCCCAAATGTTTCTAAGCCATTGGATTCCCACTGCTCATTTGCAGCTGGCAAGAATGTCAGCAGATCACCTTGGGCACGTTTCAATGTGCATTTGCATATTGGTTTTGCAGTCATGAGCCTGAGAGACACAAATTGGCAGAAGTTTGGCTTTTGGGCTCTTACAATCTTTGAATTTTGCTCATACCATCATTTTGTGCATTTCGACCAAGCCAGCAGAGCTTTAGGTTCTCACAATGTCAACTTCCAAGCGTACAAAGATCAATTCAAAGCACACCACCCCCACCTGTTGAGTGAAAACATGATGTGCGTTGCCACGCTTTGGGTGACAGTCACCTTGTATGTTGCTGCCTGAGGGGTCGGTTTGGTTCTGCGTGGGGCACAGCTCATCTCAAAAACTGGACTGTCACAGTGTGTGGCACATGCGCAGGTGAGCAAGGATGGTGAGGCTGTGCAGGCTCCTGCTGGACTGGACCCCTTAGATTAAATCCTACCAATGGCATTTCTTTTTGTCTTTTATTGTCTTCCCCTCACTATTTTTGCGTGATGCTGAATCAAGTTGGCTACTGGGAAGACTTGGCTGTTTGGCTGTTTGTTGTCCACGAGATGATGTTCCTCTTCTCCTATGAATCATGCTACATTGGAATAAACAAGGGAGCACACTTGAGCCCTGTTGAGTATTTATGACAGCCAGGTAGCTTGGTCCCACCTTTGTATGTTGTTCTGTGCTTGCACAGGGAAAGGTAATGCGCTACGGACCCCCATCCTGGGCAGCACGGCATGGATGCGTCTTTTCCTGGCTTTGGAGCCTGCAATAACTCAACTTGTGTTCTCCTGTTTCTGTAGCCATCCTTGGCATGCACACCTTGATGAGTAACCAGCAGTACTATGAGGCACTGGGGAGCACCACCATCGTGAACAAAGAAGGGCTCAACAGTAAGTGACAGAGTATTAGCAGGCTGCAGTGTTTGGCTTTGAAGCTGCTAACAGAGGCAAACTGGGAATTATTTTTAGGCTGAAGGTTGGAGCCGTGACTGTGAGAGCAGCCTGTGATTACTGGGGCCATCCCCGGTGCATCCTTGCCCTGTGAGAGCCGGCGCGATCTCAGCCGCTGCCCTGGCACTGGCCAGGAGCTAGCACAGCCCAGGAAACAGCCCCACACAGGTGGTGTGCCCTCCATCACCCAGTTTTGGACCCTGAGAGCATGTAGCAGCAGGCACCGGCTGTCCTGTGCTGGTTGGCCTCACTGCCAGGCAGTGTTTCTGGATGCACATGTGCATAGATGGAGCTGCCAAGTGCTTGTTGGGTCTTTCATCTCGTGTCTGTTTGTCAGGTCACGCTTCCCTCTCCCGACACTGCTTCTGGAAGAGGAGAAACGCACCCAAAGAGAACATGCTGCTGCTCAGGGTGCTTTCGGTTTCACATGTCTTGCTTTTCACTTGCAGGTGTGATTAAGCCCACAAAGTACAAACCAGTTCCTGATGAGGAACCGAACTCAACGGATGTGGAGGAAACTCTGAAACGAATACAAAGCAACGATCCTGACCTTGAGGAAGTCAACCTTAACAATATTATGGTATTTGCTCCTTTCTACTCTCCTCTCTTAATAACAGGACCAAACATTTGATACACAGAAGGCAGAGACCAAGTCTGTTTCGCTGCACAGAGTAATACCATAACACTGCATGTAGCCAGACAAGAAACACCAGTGCTTCCCATCTCCATTTTGGGCAATAGGGGTTGTTACCTGCTGTGGGACAATGGTGTGGGGCTGGTGGCAGGAGGACTTCTGTAGATGCTTGGAAAAGCAGAGCTGTGTTGAGGGGTAGTTTGGGAGACCAATCTCCAGCCTGTCTGGTTAAAGGTGTTCTAGGTTGCTTTAACGGTTTAGTCAGGCACATTTGGTGGAGGGGCTGTTTATGTAAGATAAAATGGTGGGAGGAAAAACGCTTCATAATCCTGATACTTGCCATGAAAATATGAAGAGACCCCCCTTCTTGCAGGTAGCCTTGTCAATCTCCCACCCATCCCTTCTGTGGAACTCCTTTACTCCTTGTAGAAAGCAAATCAGGACACAGCACCACTTCTTATGTTGCCTCTGGGACACATACACGTATTAAAAAATATAGTTTTCGTCTGTCTGCCGTGATTCCAGGACCCCCATCCATGGGGTCTGTTGAATGTTGACATATTCAAATAACAAGAATGTGGTTAGCTGCACGTGCACATCAAAAACACTTGTGCCATGCCACCTGCACCTTTCCATAATGAAAAGATTTTTACTTTCATGTATTTGATTCTGGCTAGTGACCCTGAAAGTCCCTTGAGGACACCAGCCTGAAGGTCCCTTGAGGACACCAGGCTGAAGATCTGGCAGGCAGGCACTTTTTTTGTGTGTTGAACTCATGACTTTGGGACACGGTTTGGAGAACTGAGGAGTGGCAGCGGAGATGGTAAGCTGCTGCGCTCTGTGTTATGGCTCTGCACATGGCTTTGACTATAGATGATTCCACATGGTGGGATCCAAATGGTGTGGCAGGAAGTCCAAGCTGAGGATACCACTTAAAATTTTAGACAGGTGAAAATTTGTGCATCTGAAAAGGGTATCTAAAGTGCTCGATAAGTGAGAAATACTGATTTTGTAGGAACTCTGAATAAGCAGCATGGATTTATTTTCTGGGCTGAGACCTAGCACGCCAAATATTAGCCTGAAAGATGTTGTATAAAGCAGTCAGAGGTGTCTGTGGTTTGTATAACAAGGAGATCGTTTCAGGTCTTTCTGGATCAGGCCCTGTGATGGTGGGGTGGAAATTTTCCTGAACATGACATGAATGTTGCTCAGTGCTGTCATTCATATTAAAAAGTGCAGGAGCAGTGCTTTGTAGGCTCATGGATCCTAGTTACATACATCCCCACAACGCCTGCATTCGTAAGTAGCTGAGTTTCTGGGCAATTAAATTAAACAGCAGAGACGTAGCTTCAAATCAAGGCAGTGAGCTACCAGCAGAGTGGGAAATAGGATGAAAACATTGCCATGTTCCTTAGGCCATGCTGATTATAGCAAGAGAACTTGTAAAAACATTTATCGACCCCTTCCTAAATTACTTCAGTGCATTTGGTGATTTGACCTTGATAAGAAATTTAAAGTATCATTTAAATATATTGCATATTCCTTCATACAGATGATGGCATAACACAGGTTTTCTGCATTTCTTTTCACAGAATATTCCCATACCAACATTAAAAGCTTTTGCGGAAGCACTGAAAAATAACACCTATGTGAAGAAGTTCAGTATAGTTGGGACACGGAGCAATGATCCTGTTGCTTTCGTAAGTACTGTCAGCTCACTGTCATAAAGTTGTGACAGGAGCTGTTCTTGAGCAAAGTATTTTTAGAGTTACTGACTGACTGCTTTTGCACCTTACGTGGTGTTTGACACATTCTGCACCTCTGGCGTTTGGTGCAGGTGGTTCAGTTTCAGGAGCACTGGTGAAAGCCAGCGACAGACAGGCTTTGGTTCCTTCACTTCCTTTTTCAGCTGCGGAGATTTCAGGACACAATCCTTTAATCCCATTTGGTCTCATATTCGTCCTCAAGGATCTCCCGGAAAAGGAGCGGGAGACAAGAACTGACTTCCTAGTGGCATTTTGCAAAAGCAGTTTGTCTCTCTCCATTTATCATACATCAGGGCCACACCATTTGTTTCTGTTGGTACAAAGCCTGGTACCTGGTTCTGCTGGTACACTGCTGTGTGCACACCCATCCCTCCCCTTGCACACCTCTGGTCCGGCTCTTTTTCATATATTCCTTTGTGCAGACCTGTGCAGAAGCAGGACTCTGCATTTCTTATGCGTGGCCTCTGTGGGTGATAAAGGGTCTTTCTGGCTGCTGCAAGTGGTCTTAAGTATCAGTGGGGATGCAGAGAGGTGCTGAGCTGTTCTGCCTGGCCCTCGTGCTACCTTGCAGGCTGCATCCTTGCACACTCCTCCAGCACCACTGCAACGAATTTTTGCTCTTCTTCACCCCAGCCACCCCTACCTATGTCCACACACACACGTGCACACCAGCTTCCTGTTAGAAAAAAACCTTCTTTTTGGAGGGTGAGTACAGCCCTCACATTATTTCAGGCACACTGGACTGGGGAAGAAGCCTGTGCAGGGAGAACTCGCACTGCTTGAGGGCCCGTGGGACACTGTGCAGGGCTAAGAGAGTGGTGGAGCCAAGTGCTGTGTGAGTGGGTGCAGGTCAACACTGCCGCTTGGGCATCACTTTCTGGTCCTTCTGTTTCATGACGTAGAAGTGCCAGCCCACTTCTGGTCTTGCCTGCTGAGGGAAGCAAAAGTGATTAACATGGTTGTGATGCTGCTTGGGAGGACCTCTTGGATGTGGAGAATCCCTTGTTGTTCAAGACAGATGCTCCTCTCTCTGCCTCCTGCGATGGGAAGCGTCTCAGCCCCACGCAGAAGGAGCAGTGCAGGCAGGGAGCTGGTCAGGCAGGAGGCAGGGTCGACACTGGCCAGCATCCCTGCCATCACCATGATGGCTTTAGAAGAGGGACAGATGAAGCTGTCATGGGGCAGCTGCAGGTGTGGACTGTCACACTTAGGGCCACCCCACAAGGCTTCTCCATACAAGGTTTTACTGCGGCCTCCAGCATGCTCACGTTCAAGAATCCCCCTGCAACGGGGGGAACCCCCTTCACCCCACACAGAGCTCACCCATCTGGTGGCAGTGAAACCGCTTGGCACACAGGGTCCTCCCGGTGCCCTCTGGAGGCGAGGGGAGTTGAACCCTGCTGCTCCGGGGTGCTCTGTCCCTGCTTGTCTGACTGCCAGCTCTTCCCATGCACCTCTGCCCGCAGGCACTGGCAGAAATGCTGAAGGTCAATAACACGCTGAAGAGCCTGAACGTGGAATCAAACTTCATTTCTGGGTCAGGGATCCTGGCTGTTGTTGAAGCGCTCCAGGGCAACACATCGCTCATAGAGCTGCGCATCGACAACCAGGTAAAGTGTGCGCGAGCGGGAGCTCTGATCAAGTGAACGTGTCCTGGTTGTGGGAAATTGAGTAGCTGGTCAAGGTGGAGCGTGGCAGCCCACCGCCACTGCCAGGTTGCTTTGGAGAGGTTTCAGCCCCTTGTTTCTGCTGCAGTTCCTGGGCAGTATCTGCTACTACCTACAGTAATTAACAAAGGCTGTGGCAGTGCAAGCAGCTTTCCATGTTCCTGGTGCTGCCCCAGAGAGCAGTGATGCACTTGTCCAATATCATGCCTTGCTCTGAGCTCTTGCAGGGACTTAAATAATGTCTATTTAATAATAATGAAATTTTTGCTACAATGCAAGGGAA